GGGTACACAAATAGTATAGAATATTTTAAGCCACTAATTTAAACAACATGCTGAGAATGCCCATTTTTCTCTGCCTGTGGATTGGACACATTCTGAAAGCAGCAAGGATGGGCCTACAACAACTCCAGCTGCAGGAAACTGAGCAGACTGCTCCCCTTTATTTTATTATTTATTTATTTTTTATTTTTTGAGAGAGTGTCTCATCTGTTGCCTAGGCTAGAGTACAGTGTCACTATCAAGGCTCACTGTAGCCTCAACGTCCCAGGGATCAGGTGAATCCTCCCACCTCAGCTTCCCGAGTAGCTGGGACTACAGGCACACACCACCACACTTACATATCTTATCTTCCAAACTCTCATTCATTAAAAGTGAATCTGGATTAGTGGGGTAAAAGAAGGCCATCACCACAATTAGCAGTGTGTTTTGGGGGAAGCCTTGAAAGAACTACTTTTCCCTTGATGAAAGCAGAGCATTAAAGGTTAACCACAAGGAATAAAGAGACGGTGAGTTTTTTCTCACATTTTCACTGTAGCCAGGTAGCCATTTGATTAATCTGTTAAGCCTTTTCTTTCCCCCTTAGAAAACTTCTGTTTGTAGTTTGGGAACACTCCAGGATGTCACTGGCCTCTGAAATATTTATGAAATGTGTTAGTTCCCATTCTAAATTGGTTTAGTAACTGAGGCTGCTCTTTTGACTTCTGTGTTTTAGTTCTGGGGCTGGCAGAGCATGAAAATGGGTCTGTGCGAACATGTGTGTGCCTGGGTATAGCAGACCACGTTTTCTTTGCAGAGTTGTGATGAAGCATCTTCAAGGGCTTTGAAAAAGTTTCCTCAGGCATATCCAGTGAGCAAGGTAGATGCCATTGTTTCGCAAGTTTTCTGTTTTCTTTCTGTCTGTACAGCTTGTTCCTGACTTCATGGCTGGGAGGGAATTGAGGATGCTGAAGAATACTTGCTGTTTGGCCAGTGGGGCTGAGCCGAAAAGCTGGCTCCTGTTCTCCCATGGGTCACTTCAGGGCTGGGTCCTGTGGCTATAATAGGAGAGGGGCCACATAGAGGCACTGTTCTAAGTTCTGCATGGGGACAGCATGGTTCCTCTGGTCGCTGCACATGCCATCTGACTCATCTATTACCTAGACTCAAAAAAAAAAAAAAAAAAAAGATCTTAAAAAATACTGGCTTTATTCTGGATAGTTGGCACAGAAATTGGGATTGCGGACTCATTCTATAAGCTGGCTTCTGTTCTTTACCTCCCACCCTTTTATCCGTGGCCTTCCCTACCCACTATCACTATTCCCTACCCAGCTCTCTTACCTCTGTGACTGTTAGAGACTAAATGATAGGTATTTGGGCAAGGAAATTTCTCCTTTCATTAATTGATTTTAGGAAGATCTTTTATATCCCAGAAAGGAACTCCAGGGGGACTGTGGTAAACGGCTGATTTCATCATTTTCTGAACACATTAACCTCATGTATACTGATGGGATACCAAGAAAATGGAACCCCTACCCTTGTATGGCAGGGAGGCGGGAACTCTGTCCACTGATGTGTGAATTCCCTCAGGTCATCCCATCTCATAAGTGACATGCACAGTCTCACAACCCACTTGATTGATGCACAAAAGAGTGGATTTTGCTTCTTTATTGAGTCCTGGATATTCATGGGAAAGCTGTAAGCACCAGGCAGGTGGAAGTGCTTTTGAATCTGAACCTAAAAACACCTAGACATTCCCACAGAGTCAGATCTCAGGCGCAAAGTTAGGGCCAGGAGGAACATCAAAGACCACGGTCTGGCTTGCTCCATAGCCCAGGGGTCCAGTGTATTCCAGGCCATTTGCTTGTGCAAGCACATGGTGTAGTGATTTCAGTTCTGATGGTTAAAGGATGCTGTTAAACGCTACTGAATAATTTTAAAAATAGTAGTGTAAACTACATTTAACTTGAGCTGCTGTAACTAACTTCTGGAGTTTCTGGCCTTTGATGAAGATAACTCTTGTGTTTGCTGCAGACAGAAAGCAAATACCCAAGTGAGCCCTGAAAGTAAGTTCTCTTCTTGGAAGCATTGAGCCTCTCCCACACAGAGGCACAGGGAGTGCTAGTCGGTTGTACTTGAAGGCGGTTAAGAGCTGGAGCTGCAATGGATGCCGGGTAGGTGTTGCTCGGGCATTGTTCCAAGAGGCTCTGGAGGCAAGTATTTTAAGCAAGTCAAACAGCCCCTCTAGGCGAGCAGCAGGAAGTCCAGCCCTTGCCTTCCGTGTGGTCAGCAGGAGATAAAAGTGTGGACTGTTGGAGGCTAGGCCCCTCCTATCACTGGATGACTAACTGTTAAGGGAAGATAAAAGGAAAGAGTAGCGATGTTCTTTTTGAACAACATGAAGGTGCCTTTGTCACATACATTCAAGTAAATTAAAGGGGGTGAGCAAGACATGGCTCAGTTTTATGATCACAAGCATGTTGAAGACTCTGAGGAGCAGGAGTTGGCTTCACAAGTATGCCAAAACAATTTCATGTCATGAAAATATTGGTAGAGGTAGGCTTTTGATTGGGATTGTTCCCATTAAACAGCTTAACGTTAAATGGGCATCAGCTTGGGTTTCCAAATCTGTGTGCTACAGAGATTTTCCCTGTTGAGGTGTGTCTGACCCATGGGGACTGGGTGGACATGCCCAGCTGTCCTTGGACTGAGCAGATAAGCAGGCAGGGCAGCTGTGCTTCTCTCAAGTGTGCCCATCTTCTCTTAGTCGTTTTGGTGCTGGCCGAATTATCACCCAGGTATGAAAGAGTTGAAAGGAAAAGACCATACTGCTGCTGTTTATCTCCCCTTCCAGTTTTCCTTCCTGTTCTTTGTAACATTTGGAGGGAGTCTGGGGGCTTCCAAAGGGGTTATCTGTTTCTCAAGGTGGAGCTTGTAAATGTGAACCCACAATAAGAGCCTGGGCTTGTTCGGTGCCTTGTGTGAGCTCAATCCAAAGCAAGTGAACAAGTGTGCTTGGGGGACATGATGCTTGTTTGAGGCTGGGCCTGGGGGCCTGGGCTGTGGTTTGGGGTGGCCCTTTGTGCAATTAGACCCCCCAGGGAGTTCAGTTGTTGTGAACTAATCACTGCCTGGAGGGCCTGTGTGCCTGAGACTTCCTCCAGGACTGCAACTAATCCCCACTCCCCACCCCCACTGCCAGCCCTGGCCTCCGGCCCCCTCCTTCCAAGGTGCCTCTGCTGGTCCAGGAACATGTCACCTCCTCTCCCATGCACATGGGCTTTCCAAAAGGGCCCATCCTGCCTGCTAGTTCTTTTTGGTTTGCTCAGTTTACTTTAAGAAAACCAATTTGCTTGCTTGCTAGTGTTTTGGGTTGGCTAGCTTATGATAAACACTTATCAACCACTTATATGTCAGAGCATTTGTTTTCCTTTATATGCATAGTAGTGAATACTTTTCTTAGAGGTGAAATTGGGGGTGAGGAAATGGAAGGCATTCTGTGATATGGCATAGAGGACAGCCCATCCAGCTCCTGGGAGCTGGACATGGTCACCTTACCGCACACAGTCATTCCCAGCTGATGGTTTGTAATGTCTGATTACGCACTGTGAAATTTTGACCACAGCTGACCACTTTTCCAATGGGCGAGGAAAGATGTGATCCCCTCCTTCCACTGCCTTCTCTAAGCTGTTAGGGGAGAAGCATTTCAAACACATTTTTATCTTCCACAAGTCATTTTGGTTTTCTAAGGAGTATCATCCTGAAATTCCCCTGAATTCTGGGAATTAGAAGCCCAGATTTAAGGTAAACCACCTGCCCTGGGGTTGCTTAACTTGCAGACAGCTCCTCTTCTGGGGAAAAGTGAAGAATCCTGTTGCTGCTGCACCCTTTCCCCGAGCACGTTAGAAAGGCCAGCGCTGCGACCTCAGGGCCTATGAAAGAGTTGCAGGATATTGCCTAAAACTCTCTGCAAACTGCTACTGAACTTTACCCTAGCTTCTTACCAGAAGCTGGAAATGTGACAAGATACTTAGATTAACTCCAGAGATGTGTCCAGAACAATCCCATTTCTATCATATAGTGTCATGGTGTCCTCAGCTGTGCTGTATTCAGGTGCCGCAGTTACTTGGGAGAGAAGAAGCTTGGTGAATATGGGGAAGAAAGAGCTTCATCTTTGTGGGAGCCGGCAGTGTGTACTTCCGTAATTAACCCAATGTGAAGCTGACCAGGATTGGTTTCAGCAGCAACTGAAGTCAGAGGGGTTTTATTTCCTGCTTGTCATACAGCATGGCGACTGTCAGCAGCTGTTCTCGTTGTCCAGTGAATTGCATTTGGGAAAAGCCAAATTATATTTATTTTAAATTGTCCAACTTGTGGACTGGGGCAGGAATTCTTTTAGAAGACCATCAAGCTGAGCTCTGGCCTCCAAAGCTTTGGCAATCCAATAGAGGAAACAGATGGGTGAATTGAAGAATTGGGAGGATCAGCCCAGGGACTACCTGGAATATTGGAGGATAAATAGTGTAGCATCAATAGTTTGCATACTGGAGGATGCCACAATATTTGTAAAGTATTTATTTATTTATTTATTTAAGATGGGGTTTCACCATGATGGCCAGGCTGGTCTTGAACTCCTGACCTCAGTCAGGTGATCCACCCACCTCAGCCTCCCAAGATGCTAGGATTACAGGCATGAGCCACCTCGCCGGGCTGTAAAGTATTTTAATAATCACTTCTTTGATTTCTGTATTGTATGGTAAGGAGGGCAGTGTTACCAGCTTCATTTTCCAGCTGGGAGAACTGAGGCTCAGAGTTCAGTGGCTCCACTAGTGGCAAGCTGAGTTTCCAGGCTAAGATTTAAGACTCTCCATGTCAGGCCGGGCGCAGTGGCTCATACCTGTAATCTCAGCACTTTCGGAGGCCAGGGCAGTGGATCACTTGAGGTCAGGAGTTTGAGACCAGCCTGGCCAAGGTGGTGAAACCTCCTCTTTTTTTTTTTAGTAATTTTTATTTTTTTGGTGGGGGCGGTGGGCGACTTTCTGGCGAAAACCGGAAAGCTTGCTAGACAAATTCTAAAAGAACTGGAACACTGAAACCTCATCTTTACTGAAAATACAAAATTAGCCTGGTATCCTGGTGCACGCTTGTAATCTCAGCTACTTGGGAGGCTGAGGCGGGAGAATCGCTTGAACTCGGAAGGCGGAGGTTGCAGGGAACAAAGATTGTGCCACTATACTCCAGCCTGGGTGACAGAGTGAGACTCCATCTGAAAAAAAAAAAAAAAAAAAAAGATTCTTCATGTCATGTGCTTTTTAAGTTATACTGTGATGGTTTATTCTTGCGCATGTGTCTGGAATCTTAAGGTATTATGCAGAGAGGGCAAGTGTTACGCATAAAGGATTGTCCACTTAGAAGTGCAGAATTTGGAAGTCAGAAGAGTCTTCTAACCTGGTCTCCTGTCCATTGCCTGACTGGGGTTTTTGTTTGCTTTTTATTAACTAGTGGTTACCCACCCTCTGCTTGAAGACTCCTGGGACAGCAAGCTCATTACCTTATCTGGGCTCTTTCCATCTGAGGGCTTAGTTCAAAGCTCTGGTTTAAAGAATTGTGGAGCTCCAGAGTTGCTTGTTTGTGCCTCGTTCCTGCCATGGTGGACCCGTGCGGCGAGTGTGCCCCTCTTCCACACATCAGTTCTGCAGCTTTTGTAGCTGGCTCTTGTCTTCATCTGTTAGCCATTTCCAGTTTTCCCCTTGACTTGGTTTCTCAGTCCTCTAGCTTGCTAATGACCCTTCTCTGAATGGTTTTTCAAATACCCTTTTTGTGCTACAGTAGAAAATACAAGATTTTTGGAGTCAGACAACCCTGGGCTAGACCTTTAAGAGCTGTGTTACATCTAGCAAATGCCTAATTATTACTTTAGGAGAGTTGGGAGAGGATTAAAGATATGTAAATAGCCTAGCATACTCCTAACATAGAGTTGATGTCACAAGTACCAGTGCCCTCGGTTATCAGGGAGAGATGTGCTCTGGAAAAAACATGATTAGATGCATAGTAGACTTCCAGTGTACTCTGACTTGAATCCTATTTTCTGTTACTTATGCAACATTCTTTTCTGTTTTTAAATTCCTCAACCAAGGTGTGTTGTGGAGGCCTCTCCCCACCCTTTCTTGTACCTGGTGTCTACCTGATAAGCCAGGAGAGCAGATCTTAGGGTGGGACGGGGCAGGGATGCTACTCAGCTTAATCTCCTGAAGAGATTAAGCTTCTGCCTTGGCCCAGGAGACCCTGCCCTGCCCTGGGGTAGGTGAGGATGCCCTGTGGGCCCTCTGCCCCTGTGGTCCAGCATGGGTGCTCTCTTATTAGAACATAGTTCACCTTGGCTACTCAGAGAATGATACACATTTCTGCTGAGTTAGGCAAGAAAGTGATGAAATACCCGGTCCTGGCAGGCAGGCTGAAAAACAATGTTTAGGAAAAGTCTGGCTTTCCTGGGGAAAGGGCCAGGGACTCGGCTCTTCCCACAGTTGGGTGCGAGGGCTGCTGTGTCCCTTCCCAGGGGAGCAGGGTGCTGTGTGACAAATGGCTGCCATTTAGCAGCTGTGTCTTGGCCTTGGAAATCTGGCAGTAGTTAGAGACTGGCAGGAAGATACGCTCCCTGGAGAAGAGCTACAAGAAATGGAGTCAGCTCCTTCATAGTCCTCATGTACTAGCAAGAAAGCTTATCATCATTGGGCCTGTGCCCATTTCCTTCCTTTAAAGAATCATAGATCCTTGCAGAGAGGTGCAGGAAGAAGAACGGGGTACCACAGGATGATTTTATCTGGCATCGTCCAGAAAATCTCCCCACCTTTCTCAAGGCTCATGTTTTAAATAGTCTGACTGACGTGGATAACTTTGGTAGGCAGGGACCCTGCCTTCCCAGTTAACGTGTGCTTCCCTGCTGAAGTTGTATTTAATGTAACAATTTAAATGTCCAAGAGATTTTTAAGAGAAGCTGCTTCCTGCATGGAACCTATGACTCTGCCCTAAGCTGCCCCTTCCTCCACACTTTACAAAATATTGCAGTTTTCCTTTACCTAAGAACAACTGACATTCCTTCTGAAAAGGAGCATTAGTAGCTTGTGTTATTTCTAATAAAATGCTCCAGGTCAAGATCAGTGGGATACCTGAAATTATAGTCAGAGTAAGGAGCAGCCACTCTGGCCTGTTGGAAATGACCTCTGATTTTCCTTCCTCCACCCTCAGGTCCCATTAAGAGACAAACTGTAGTAGATGGTGAGCTGTTTCTAAGGCTGTAGGAGGGAACCTCAGGGCTGCCTGCCTCCCCTTGAGGTCATCTCCTTAACTGTTCTCCCCCTTACCTGCCCCTTGTTGCTCACTCCTCGCTGCCCAGGAGCAGCAGAGAGTCTGGGGAAGATAACTGGGGCCATCAGGAATCTTGGCTGAAGGGCTCAGGTTTGGAGGTAATTGATTCCACAGCCCCCTCCAAGGAGCCTTTCGGGAAGTAGCACAGGCTTGGCAACTGCCATTTGCTGGAGAGAAGGCTTTTAGGATCCAGGGTTGCAAGAAGGCCCAGGCCACATGGTTTTCCCAGCCATGCGCTGCAGGCTGGCCTTGCCTGCCTGAAGCCCACCTCTCATGTGTTTTTGTTTCTGAAGAAGCCCTGCATAGATTCATTCCTCCCTATCCCTTATTTCTTACTATTTTTTATTGTGGTAGGTAAAACCAAAGTTGGAATGGATCTTTGTTTCTGTTCCAGGGCCTTGGTTTTTACTCTGGAGGTATATAATAAGCCAAGCAGCTTCTTCCAAATCCTTGCTAAAGGAAGGTTTTCAGGGAAATCCTGCACGTCTTCATGAGCTGGTTCTCAGGGCTGGATGGAAGCCTTTGGAGAGCTGTTAACTCAGAAACTCACACTGCTGCACCCGCCCCCAGAGGTTTTCTGACTCAGGAGGTCTGGGGTAGGGAACTGAGAATTTACATTTCTAGTAAAGGGCTGGATACTCCTGCCCTTGGGGCTTGGTGGAAGGTCTGTAGTAGTTAATTTCTCCCTGCGTCATGTTGGTGGTCTTCTCTGTGAGGTCAGCCTATCAGATAGGACTGGACTGTTCAGGCTTCAGGCAGAGCCTCCCTTGCCTGGCTGCTTCTAGAACACAAGAGTATAGAACATGAAGTGCCCCATCACTCTGCAGAGCAAGCATAGTATTTCCAAACTGTTGCCCGCTGCAGTGAACCTTTTAGACTGTGGTGAAAGTCCAGTCCTGCCTCTTGCCAGGGAGAGGTGAAGGGGAGGAGAGTGCTCCTCCTTCCTGCCTTGACAGGGGGCGGAAATGGAAAGCCAGGTGCTGAGCATCTGTAAGGGTAGCGATGATGCAGAGTGAGATTATTAGAAGTCAGAGAATGTGACTAAGGGAGCATACCTGTGCTTTCTAGCCATGGGCCAGGAGTCACACGCTTTTCTAAAATAAATTTGACAGAGTTCAGAAACTGGATTTATTACATTGCTGTACCACGCAACAGCTCGGAGACAAGTGACTCAGTCCCTCTCAACCTTTGTTTTTATGGCTGCACAGTGGGAATAATCCTCATATGGTGGTTGTTACGAGGATCAAATGAGACAATACACGTGGCATGTGGCACATGGTGCTCAAAAATTGTTAGCCATGATTAAGTGTGATGGCAGAATTAGCGGTTAAGTGTGTCTTGGAATTTGGAACCAAGAGCCATGAGTCAGTGGGAGTCATGTGGAACGTGGCCATGAGGGATAGGGTTGTGAGAGGAGTGCAGGCAGATATTCTGGGGAAAGGAACTGACCATGGGGTCTGGTGTGTGATGGAGCCAGAAGGTAGACTGAGGCCAGAGCATGGAGACCCTTGAATAGCAGGTTAAAGAGCTTGACCATTAGTCCTTTTTTTTTTTTTTTTTTGAGATAGAGTCTTCATTGTTGACCAGGCTTGAGTGCAGTGGCGTCGTCCTAGCTCAGTGCAGCTTCAAACTCCTGGGCTCATGTCATCCTCCTGCCTCAGCCTCCCAAATAGCTGGGACTACAGGAGGGTACCACCATACCTGCTTAATACTTAAATATCTTGTAGAGATATCGTCTCACTTTGTTGCCCAGGCTGATGTCAAAATCCTGGTCTTAAGTGATCGTCCCACTTCAGCCTCCCAAAGTGGTGGGATTACAGGCGTGAGCCACTGTGCCTGGCTTGCTGTAGTCTTAATAAGAGGATGAGAGTGTAGGAATGATTTGGAGCTCAGAAGACACCCAGAGGGGGCCGACATATATATGTTGGGTCCCAAATTTGTTGCCCCGCTTTACCTCTTGCACTTGTGTCTTGAATGTGGCCTGTACCAAGGGATGCATCCCCTCCACCTCTTTTTTTTTTTTTTTTCTTAATTAGAGACAGGGGTTCTGCTGTGTTGCCCAGGCTGATCTTGAACTCCTGGCCTCAAGTGATCCTCCTGCCTCTGTGTCCCACAGTGCTGAGATTTTAGGCAAGAGCCACCATGGTCAACTCCCCTCTACCTCCTAGGAGTCCCTTCTTACCCAAGAAGAGAAAATCAGAGTTGGCTGAAGCAGCTTACGGTGCCCCGTGGTGTAGATCCTGCTTAGATGCTGAGAGGTGCTGTGTGACATTCTAAGGCTCCTGTCTTACCAAAGCCTGTGCCAGCCACGGGTTGTTGGTGAGGGGGGTGACTTTCACGGGTTGCTGCCCTATCCAGGGCATAGCCTGAACCCTAAGCCAAGAAACACATCAACTTCCTGGAACTCAAAACTCGTCATCACAGCTGTCTCAGCCTTCAGAGCACATGCGAGGTGGTTAGAAGAGACAGTTTTGCCCCGAGCTTTGTAGGCAGAGAACAGTCATGTCCCTGGTGGAACATTTAGCCTGGTTTGGTTCTGCTCCCAGCCTAGCCAAGACTCAGCCCATCCTTCAAGAGATGCCTTTGCTGTTCATCAAGTTCCCTCATAGCTCAGACCATTTTAGTGTCTAAAGTGTTAACTCAAACTTTGAGCCTGTCCTGGGTTGGCCTGAACCGATCAACTAGGCTTGTACATAGCATGGATCAGCCATCCCAAGTATTTGTGGG